GAGGAGGCCGACCTGTTCAAGCAGGTGTCAGAACGGAGCCCATTCCCCAGTGCAGGACAGAGGAAGTCACCGAAGGCACCTGAGAAGCAAGACAGCTCAATGCAGAGTCCTTGAAGTCAGAACACACCTGGGTTCAAACTCTCCCGCTTACCCTGACTAGCTCTGTAAACCTCAAAGGTGTCTCCTCCTCCATAGCCATCGGCTTCTGCATCTAGAGCATGAAAACAGCAGCATCTTCCTAATGAGAGTGTTGTGAGTTAAGAACGAACTGATACACTTACAGCACTTGCAAAATTGTCTGGATAACGACACACATGTTCATGTGGGAAAATATAAAGTGATCAATGCAAATCTAATACCAGAGAAGATAAGAGAACCACCCTCAAATTACTTTCCCTCACTCGGAGGAGCCCTGGCTATTGTGTGCAATAATTCAAGTTGGATTTCTGAACAAACAAATAATGTCACTGTCAGACCAATTTAATTTTCTTTCTTTGAAGCATATTGGACTGTGTAGATGGAAGGAAAGCGAAGGATGTGATGCTGCTGAACTAGCTGGCTTTCTGTCTGCCTCCCAGGCACTCCTATCACCAGGCTAAAGAAATGGTTTAGAACAGCGTGTCCCCCAAAGAGCGTTTCACAGAAAGTTATTATGTGTCGCACGAACAATGAAGTTTGGGAAACACTGGGTAAAATGCGTGGCTTTACTACAGGAGTCTCCAGTTTTTTAAATAAGGTAATGTGACTATCTAAGAGTTCGTATAGTGGTGGGCATTTTTCAGATCTTCTTGGCCATGAAATTCTTTTAGGGATCACAGAACACAGTTTGGAAAGCAGAGGTATTGGTGAGGTATAGGTAACATTATATTATCTTTCCTCAAGTGGTAGTTCCTAAAGGATGATTATTAAGGGTTTAGCATCTATAGCTACAAAAATGTTGTGTGTTTTTCTCCAGGGATCAGAATTTGAAGAGGTGCTATTTAATACTTCTATGCACGAGCTGAACAATGAGATCCAAGAGAGCCACGGAGAGCGTGAAGCTGCCCAGGGGTTGCTATCTACTCGTATGACAGAAATAACATTCACCGGCCCGTCAAAATAGAATTCGATCAGAAATAGCATGAAGAAATAGGGAAAAAGATGTCTAACAGATAAGACATAATTTCTGCATATTTTGAAAAGAAATAAAAGATTTCGATACACATATGTATATGGCTTTAAAGACTGGAACACACCCTGGGTCTTCGATAAAAAGCACGACAAATACAAATGTCATCACGAGAGTCCTTCTGCCTCTGCCGAGTTCCCTGCAGTGAAAAGCGCAGGGAACTGGGATGTGCCTTGCAGACGTGGGTGGCTGTGTTAGGGCGCTGGGGCTCCTACGCCTCTCTCCTGGCTCTGCAGGTTCCTTTCGGCAGTGGCCTTGGTTGCTGCTCCAGAACTTAGGACTTCCCAAGCCGTGTGATTCCCAGCAAGGACCCAGGTTAGGGTGCTTCTGGGTGGAGGATTGAGAACCTTTAAAGGGAGATCCTATCATTCCCTAGTTGAACAAAAGCCTTGTAGTTATTTTGCTACGAGTGAGCAGGTACAGGCCTTCTATTCAGAACTTATCCTGGCTGCTTGAGATTCTGCTACATCCAGGGATGATCCAGTGTGGGTGCCATTTCTAAGTCACTGAGGAGCTGACGTTGAGGGATCAGAGACTGTAGCCACTTTTTTCACTTCTTTGGTTTTACATTTTTGAATTAGGACATGGCGTACCCTAAGTGCCCTTCTTAAAGAACTGGCTTGAAATTCACCCAGTGGAGTCCTGCGCATGTGTGCTGTGCACGGGAGCACATATTTGCATGTGCATAAGAAAAAGCCGATACAAAGGAGAACCATAACAGTGTTCCAAGTCCTGTTCTTGACTTAAATCTCCACACTAAAACATCAGAGGACTCCCTGGGCAAGCAACCAGGTGAGAGACACAGAAATCTCATCCCATGAAAAAAGGAGCTCATGATGTTAACCTGGACAAGAAAAGAAACTGGGGTCAATATAGTTCTTTCTCTACTTAAAAAGAAAAAAAAATGGTTGGAAATTAAGAGACACTACTTATGTTAAGAAGAAGGATTTATAACAATCAAGACTGCCTTTCAATAAAAAAAACAAGTCTGCTTTATGAAAAGAGTCCAAAAGACGAATTTATTTTTGAAGACTTATCTTGTGACAGGTGTTATGCCTAACACATTACATGCATTAGCTTAGTCAGTTCTCTCAAAGTGGCTGTGAGGCAAGAAGTGCTATTCTCTTTACATTACGGATGGGCACACAGAGTGCGGGAGTGGTTAGTTTCCTTTTCTAAGGTCACACAGCAGGGGAATGGACCAGCCAGTATTGGATCCTGGAGCCTGTGCACTAAACTGCCAAACTGTTTACAGTTCTAAACCATTTAGCCTGGTGATAGGAGTGCCTGGGAGGCAGACAGAAAGCCAGCTAGTTCAGCAGCATCCCATCCTGCACAAATATCCTTGGACATTTTAACGCACAGCCTTTTATGTCAGAGATTTAGTTTAATGGGTTCGTTTCATTGTAAGACTTTTCCATTGCAGGGCTGGACCATCGTAGATGATCTCTACAATTTTATATCTAATTTCTGCCATATTGAGAATTGAAATATTGATTTGAACGTCCTTGGCCACCATGTCCATTTGTCACTTTCCTATTTTTTGTTTTACCTTCATCTGAGAACATTTTTTTTCTTTGATTTTAGAGAGAGAGGAAGAGAAAGAGAGAAACATCAATCAGCTGCCTCCCATACGTGCCCAGACTGGGAATTGAACCCACAACCTAGGTAGGTATTCTGACTAAGGATAGAACCTGCAACATTTTGGTTACTAGATGACGCTCCAACCAACTGAGCCACACTGGCCAGGGCTGTGACCTTCCTACATCAGCAGAGATGAGGAAAAACCTAACAGTCTAGTAAAGGACAGTAAAAACTAAGGGATGCATGGACAATGGAATCCACGAGGAAAATGAAAGAGGTTGCACTCCTTTGACCAGGGAGTAAAGTGGCAGTCTGTAATAACCAGAAGATTAGGGGTATGCAAGTCACTTCCATGGAGAATGTGACAAGAAATTTATTTCATTGAAAAAGCTTGGCTGGCACAGGACGGTTTTCTGAGTGCAAATGTCTTGAAATAAAAAAGACTTTGAAGCACAGTTACAGGTAGAAGAGGGCCATGCTAGAAAAGAAGTCCACCCTGATTGGGAGACTCAGTTGGTTGGAGCATCATCCCATACACGAAAAAGAGTGTGGGTTCGACTCCCAGTCAGGGCATATAACCAGGCTGTGGTTTGAGCCCCAGCTGGGGTGTGTACGAGAGGCACCACATCGAAATTTCCCTCTCACATCAATGCTTCTCTCTCTCTCTCTCTTTCTTTCTCTCTCTCTCTCTCTCACACACACACACACACACACACACACACACACACACACACTGATATTTCTCTCTCTCCCCCTTCCTCGCTCTCTAAAATCAATAAACATATCAGGTGAGGATTAAAAAGAAGACGTCAACAGCAGTCCGCCTCAGCTGCCTTCCTGGTAACCTCCACAAGGTGCCTGCCCTGAGGACCAGCTGGACGCCAGCCCGTGGTGGTGACTCCACTTTCCCTCATCCCGTCTCACTGAAGAAGCAGCAGACACTGAAAATGAACCTGGGGCCATTTTCACTGCGGGAAACTTTTAAGCTCGATCTGACGACTGCGGCGATGGAGACCCTTAGGTAGCCGGCCGCAGGGCAGCGCGACAGATAACCTCGGGAGATTCCCTCTGAATTCCTGAGTTACGGCCCGCAACGACGGAGGAAGGCCCAGGAGGGTCTCTGTTAATAAAATCTCCTTGAAAAACCAACACTTCTGCTCAAACAGAGCTGTATGTATTATTTTTAGGAGCTAGACTGTTGCTTCTTTTTTTTTTTTTTTTTTGCTTTTTTTTCTTTAACACGGAAGGAAACTGAATACCCTTACAGTAAAGGGATTTTTTTCTCTTGCTTTATAGAAATTTTACCACAATTTCATGCCCTTGCACCTCACAGTGTGCTGCTCGGTTCATTACTCTTACATTTAACTTGATAAGGTCCTGGCGCCTGTGATACTGGTTCTTATAGGTTCTGGTTTCTCCCAGCTGCTGCTTTGAAGCTCCTGATAACATTTCCTGCCTGGCATGGGGCCGGTGGCTTTTCAAGTTTTCACGCTCTTTCTGTTTCTTCTCACTTGGGCGGGTGCATTCACAAGCTCACGCCATCTCTCCTTGTGAAAGAGGGCAACTCTTGGGCTTTTGCAAGTGGCTAATCGGTCCATCCCTGGCCCTGGGCAAATTGTCCGGAAGCAACGACTTCTCTCCTTGAGCGCGTCCCAGCGCGCGTCCCTGTGGATGTCCAGGGTTTCAGCGGGCGCCCACCCGTGGTAACGGGGCGGCGTGTCTCATGGCTCCCGTGAACACAGATAACGTGGTGCCCTCCTCCCGTGGACACCGTGCGGCCCCCACACGCCAGTCGGGTTGCAGCTAAAATCGGAGAGGGAAGCATTTCTGCATGAAGCTCCCCTCTGGTTGCCCGCGGTGAGGAACGGGACTGTGAACATCTAGAGAGAGACTTTCCGGAAGGTGTTTATGGTTCACATGGAGTTACAGCTGGGAGTTTTGAAGGTCTTTGTTATTTTAATAGGAAACTCTTTTGGGTTTCATCCACTTGGAAAGGAATTTCTCCTGTGAGTTCCATCGTTTTCCCAACCCATCTGATGTGAACAGCGGGAGCCTGAATTTGACAGGTGATCCAAGGGCTAAAATGTGCTTAGAAGTGGTGACATTGGGACTGAAAGCTTTGGCTGCGCGTTGAGGAGGGACGGGACAACCAGCAAGAGGAGGCCAAGCACAACTGCAGGCGACACTGAGAGGAACAAGCAGCTGGCTCATCACACACAAAACGCAGGTTAGGAGCGAAGTTACTCACAGGTGTTTGCGGTGCCCTTGGGGATGGGGAGGTACGAGCCGGGGCTCCACGGTCGGCCCTGGTAGTTCTTCTTGCACTTCCCACAGTCCGGGCCTGTCGTGTTGTGCTCACACTCACAGGTCAGTTTGCTGTTGTCGTACACACACACAGTGGCATGGAGGTTACATTTGCACCTGGGCAGAGGAGAGACAAGAGTTCATTGTCAGTCAGGCTGGCTCAGCGATCAGCGAGGCCTTCCCCATGGATCTCCGGGGCTGTGGCTCTCCGCCCCCCAGGCCTGGGTGCTACACGGGGGCGCTGGGTACAAGGGAGATGGCAGCCCCACCCTCAGGATCTTCCCAGCAAGGGCCTCCGGGGGTCGGGGTGGGGTCCCGCCGCAGCCTGTCCCCACCGCCCACTCTGACAGGTCCTAACACCAGTGCATCAGTCCACTGGGGACCTGAAAGCTCCCGTAAAACAATCATGCTCCGACATCAAGGGCTTCCCAGCAGGTACCCGAGATACGGCCACAATGGAGAGCTTCTTCTAGGATATAATCCGATCTACGGCAATTTCATGTGGGCTGGAAGAACAGTGGTAAGTCCTGTTCTCCCGTAAACCATGGGACAAGTCTTATTTATTTAAAAAGAAAGATAACCATGAAGACAACTTGCTATTACGAGTTATTTTATGGACCCCAAGAGGCTATAATAAGCTTTCCTCATTTCTCAAATGACAGCTCGGGTCAGAAGCATTTTTCCCAGCAAGCCCTCTGACCAGCCTGCGTGGTCCTCAGGTTCCCAGTTCATGGCAGATAAGGTCATCACAAAGGGGGGTCAGAACTGGGTCAGAGGGCTCAGGTGAGAGAGGCTCAGAATCCCAGACACGAGAAGCCTCCGTGTGATGGTGGTTCGAGGTCGTTGGCCAAGGTCTTGCCTGTGGTGCTCATGTGCAAAGCTGTGGCGTATGAGAGGAAGCAGCAGAGTGAGTAGTTTCCACAGAAATGCATTCTGTATCCCAAATCTTTGGCTGGAAAACTGCAAAGGCCACCTTGGCATGTGTTGAGGGAGCAGGTTATAAATTGTAATATTCCCAGCACGGGCCTCCTCTGGGGAGGTACAGCCTAGGTGGGCAGAATGATTGTGCCCGGAGGTCAGAACAATGTGTGTGGGCAGAGATGTGTCACACAAAGCAGGGAACTAGAACGCCCGGGCCGGGGACATCAAGGACCAAGATGTGTCACAGTCAGAACATGAAAATGTTACTGTGTGTTGTGTGTGTGTGTGTGTGTGTGTGCATTCATAAACTAGTCTGGTCTCTTCCAGGATCTAGGACAAAAATGTAGAAAGCCAATTTCATGAAGACAAAGAAATATGGTAGTGTTTTATATTTGTTTTCTTTTGCAGCAGATGTCATGAGCTGGGGAAAGGAACAATACTCTTTCTTAGGGAGGGAAATAAGATTCTTGAACAACCTGTGTTGGTTTCTATGACGTCTGTACGGTAAGATGTACGTTCCTCTCTTGTGTGCTGATGACCTGTTTGGAGCACTGGCCCAAAACTGAGGCAAGGAAGCCAAGCATGGCTACGGCTGTTACCGAGAGTAGCTGGGCTCTCTTCCAACGGAAAGGTGGGGCCCTGAAGGCCAAGGGCATCCACTCAAGCCTCCCTGGGTAACATCAGCCTCAGCTTCCTCGGAGTCTGCTACAGTTGGTGGTACACCCTGCCTTCTGTGTCATTATAAACAGCAATAAACTGAAAGGGCTATGATTTCAAATAGGACCTTTAAAAATGAACAATAGTATGATCTTTTAAAAGGACATGAGAAAAATCATTCAGTGAAGCAAAGTGGAGAGTGTTTAATTATTAGGTCTCATAACAATCACCTATATGCAGGGCGTTACTTGTGCCGAGTTGCTTATTTAAGGATCTCTCTCCCCCCGACATTAACACCTTTATTTATGGGTGTGTTTATATATGATGTGAGAAACCTAAGTGACAGGAGCACCAGCAGTTCCTGACATAGCAGCCCTTGTGGTACTAAAAATTCCCAATGAGGAAATGAACAGTGTGACCCCAAAGGACAGGCTGGCTTCGTGTGTGAGGCCAGGAAGGCCAGGAGCTGCTGTGACCTGGGTGATGTCTCCTGGAACCGTTAGCGTTGTCATACTGGCAGTCGCTCTCCGAGCTACAGGCAATTTCCATTCTAAAGACTTCGTAGTCGCTGAGAAAACATTTTTTGGAGAATGTTTAGTCTTGTTTTTCTCTGATTTCTTCCAGTTAATGGTTCACCTTCACCTGTCCAAGCTTATTAAGCATTCAAGCCTCCGCTCAGCTCATCACTCTTCCCTGGGATCTCTTCTGTCTGCTAGAGACACCCTGATGTCTACCCACCTGATTTCCTCGAATGCTTCTCCCTGTGTGTGTGGTTTGGTTGATTGCTACCTAAGACTCTTGGCGCTTTTAAAATTTTTACTCACTGTCATCTTACGCAGGGGACATGTCCATCTTGTACCCTGGACTTCTTTCTAGTTACCTGTTTAACACTCTCCTCTCCCTTCTTGAGTTTCTTACACTTTCCATCTCAGTTTTCTCATCTTCTCACCCCTGACTTACTCGCTCTTTCCAACTAACCACAGCTTCTCTTGCCAACATCAACCACACCCTCCTTGTTGAAAATCCAATGACTCTCTCTTTGCCTGCACTGCCCACTCAGAGGCCTCTGACTCTGTAGCCCACTCCCTTCCCCCGACTCTCTCCCTGCTGGGTTCTCAGGCTTACTTCCAGAACACTCATCTTCTGTGTGTTCTTGTCGTGCACTGTCCTTTGGGTTCTGGCCCAGCGCGGGCAGCCTAAGTGACTCCCCTTGGGTCCTCTTCTCCACGCTGTCCCTCCAATTTCCTCTGTGGTCCTTAACTGCCTTTGAGTTATGGGCAATTCAAAGCCAACTTGCACCATGATTTTGTTCCCAGGGAAATAAAAAACACATGCAAAACAAGTGCACCCACTTGAAAACAGGAGATTCAGAGACTCCGTGTTACTCGTAGGGACCCACGGACTGCGCCCTTCCGCTGTCACCAGGTGACGATCAATGTGTAGGGAAGCCTGCGATCTCCGGCACCACCCTCCCCCCTGGGCATCTCCAACTCAAAAAGATCCACCACTGAGTTCTTTGGCTTCCCTCTCCCGCCTACTCCATCTTCTGTGAGTTCTGTCTCAGTAAATTGCGTCCCCTCCAGTCACTCGGCCAAGCATGGCTCCTTTCTCTCTTTCCTATCACATCTAATGTGTCACCACCCAGCGTCTCACCAGGTGCTGAGATTCTGCCCTGCGGACAGCTGTCAAACACACACAGTTCCAGCCACTACCCCTTCCCTCGTGGAGGCCATCATCTTTGATCTGGTTCATCACGCTAGCATCTAAGCTATCATGCCCCCAGGCAGGCTTCCACCCCCCACCCCTACGCCATCTCAACGCGATAGTCAAAACAATCATTTACACAAAAATATTTGGGTCACCCTGGCTTAGAACCATCGAAAGATGTCCCATTATTCTCAGCATGGAGTGCACGCTGTATAACATGGTCTCCAAGCTCCTTAGAAATCTACGTCTCCTCCCACCAGGATGCCTTCCCCACGCGTTCCGTGGACAGGTGCACGGCCAGCCACAGGTGAAGGCCACACTGTCTCTGCTACACTTGTGGGCTGTGCTGTGACCACTTGTTCTTCTGTTGCCTTCTAAGCTCCTGGGAGGCCCCAGTCATAAAGAACGCAGTCTGCCTTATTCACTGAAACATCCCCGGCATGTTTTGCACAGAGTGAGTCCTCAAGAAAATATTTGACAGATAAATAAGGAAACTGCCCGAAATCAGGAACTTTACAGACCTGATCTCCCCTGTGCACCACGGCAAGGGACAGGACCCAGAGCCTTCAGAGTCGCTGCACTGAATCAAACCCTCCACGGCGTGTGCGGAGGACTCCACGTGCCCTTGTCCCTGGCTTTCAGAAGTAACCTCACCGTTGGCAACGGGCACTCCATAAAATTAGTCAGTTTGTAAAGCTCATTTGTTTTCCCCCCTAAGGAGAGGTTTTGTTGCCTTTGGTTCACAGTTGCTACTTCATGTTGTCTCTTGGTCCCAGGGCGGGCTTCCTGGGTGGGTCTGGTCCCAGGGCGGGCCTCCTGGGGGGTCCCTGTGCAGTCCTTGGCTGGGGAGAGGGGACAAGTATGGAAAGGGGCGGAGGTTTACCTGAGCCTCAACTACTCAGAACTGCATTGTCCTGTCCGGGCCTCAGTTTCCTCACTGGGCCTCTGGGAGGGTCCTGGGGAAATCCAGTCCCTCATGATGCCTAAAATATCTGGAGACCGTGGCCTGTCCCTCTCCCCAGGGGCTTCCTTCCCAGCACCCCCTCCACCACCCCCACCCCAACCCCTCCCCAAATTACTTTTGTTTTGTTAAAACTGCCTGAAATGTCTTTGGGTAAAGAAACTACAAACCGGTCAGCAGGGACAGAAGCAACCAAAAGCCATTTGGGGCCAGTTCCCCACCTCGCACAGGTTTCTTCCCCCCTACCCCACAGCTTGGCCCAAGGCCCGCTGGGAAAGCTGCTACCGGTGGCAGGGACCCCCACCCCACAGCATCTGGATCTGGCCTTCACAGACCCCCAGCTGGAAGCGCTTGAACACATGGCAAAACAAGATGAAAACACAGGAAAACCCGAAATCTCAGATGGGGAGATGATGTGGGGAGACATTCTGCAAGGGGGGGCCTCAGTAGCCTGCCCCCTCTTGGTGGTAGGGGCGGTGGTCTGGGGTTTCCCCCGGGCTTGGGCAGCAGCCAGCTCACCCCGGAGCTTGTCGGCCACTGGGCCTTGTGGGAAGCACTTGGGGTCCTAGACCTTCCAGCTCCGGCCGAAGACCTGGCCACGCTGGTGGGCACCCTGGGTGCAGGCTGTCTGCAGAGACACGGAGGAGCTGCCACCCCTGTCGCCAGGTCCCGGGAGGCAGCGCGCCCACCTGGCTGGCCCAGCTGTTGGTGCCCGTTCGCAGGTCGGGTGGCCCATGGGCGGCGGATATGGCTCTTGGGGTCCTCCCGAGGCCGTCTCACGCCATCTGCCATCATGCCCGCCCGGTGGCACACTTGCCGGTGACCATCTGCATCGCCAGCTGGGCACCTGCCCGGGCCCACCCTGTGTAAC